TTTTCCTCGAGATTTTTCCCCTCCGGTAGGAATCGAATTCTTCGTACGCGAGAAGAAACGGAGAGAAAGACGGAGAAAAGCGTCGTTTTTCTCTTTTTTTTTTCCTCCCCTCCTCCCTGGAAAGCGAACGAACCGCTTGCAAGTGGATCGCGTCCGTTTTATTCTCGTAGCGCGTTCGAAAGTATGCCGATAGCCGTCCTGTATTAACGTCGAGTAATACGTCCTACTCCGATTCGAATTGCGGGCGAGGGGAGGGGGTGTGGTGTTGCGTGGCAGCGACCTTCTCGAAGCATCGGCGAAATAATTGATCGATGGAAATGCCGCGCGTCCCTGAAAAGCGGCCGCGATTGAAATGGAAAAACATCGGTAAACTTTGAGTTTCCGATCAGCCGGGTGTTCGTCCTTCCCTTCCCATTCCCTCCCCCCCCCCCTCCGCTCCCCCCTCCCCTGCCTCGATATCAATTCTCCACCGATAAATTTCCCCGTGCACTTTATATTCACGATATTGTAATCGGATGAATAAATTCAACCTCTGCCATAAATCGTTCCATCAAACATGCATAAAGGTACGGTTTCGATTAATTGATAAGAACGAGGTAAGAGTGCTCTATCGAGCCTCGATTGCGAAATGAAAAGCTCCAACAGACAGACTCGTGTCCTTTCTTCTCTCTCTCTCTCCTTCTCCATTTTTCTTTGGTGGTTAATGACCATCCCGTCCCCACCTGACCGATGAATCCGCGATTCCGTTCTTCCTAACGACGAGCGTAACGCGAGTAGAATTAATCGCGAGAGATGAAAAGACGATTTAGGATGGGTTCTCCTCTCCTCTCCTCTCCTCTCCTCTTCTCTTCTCTCATCTCCTCGCCGAGACGAGACGAGACGAGTTTGATCTTCGGGGTCTAATCCCAGGTAGAGTCGGTACTCGAAACGAAGCCACTCGATGCAAGACCTCGTTAAGACGAGGTGGCACGAGTTTCATTGTTGGGGGGGGAGATGGGTAGAGACGAGATGTTGCGAGATCGCCTCCCGTTCGTATCGCGCGGCAATCTGCCGCTCTACCTAACCTTGTCCCAACTTTTATCCTCTCGCGTTAACCTCGTTTCTCGACACTTTGGCGATTCGTCTTCCCTTCGCGTTCGCGGCGAGACTCGCGGAAAAAGAGATTCCGCCGTACACTACTGTACTCGTTAATTAAAACTCTGCCAAAGTTGGAACATCGCGGCAACCTTTAACGAGAGATCGAACCTGCAACAAAAATCGAACTCCCCTCCTCTCCTCACCATTACCTCTCACCTTACCCTTACGTAAACTTGGAAGAAGAAAAGAAGAAAACGAGAGGGAGAGAGGAAGAAGCGATCCTTCTTCCTCTCCGATCTCTCCGTGATGTAACGTTAATTTCTCGATCTCTCCATTCCCTCCCCGACGCATCCTTCCTCCCTTTCAACGTTGAAATTTAAGAAAAACTCCGCCAGACCGGTTGGTTGCAAAGGAAAACACAGTTTTTTAACGGCTCGTCCTCGTCTTTCTTCTCCTCGCCCGAATTTAATTTTCCAATTTCACCGATCGACCTCGTTTCTTATTCTCCGTTCTCCGCCGATTTACGCGCCTCGTCCCTTCCCCACGGAAGGAGAGAGAGAGAGAGAGAGAGCACTTTTTCCGCGGACCCACTCAATTTCCCTCGCAAATCGATTTCTCTCGAAATGGCGTAAGGCAGTGTCCTGTACACGTACCGCTATTAGACACACACACGTACGCGCGCTCGGACATATAATGGATATGTTCGGAACGGAAGAAGCACGGTTCCGACGGCAGCTGCGCGTCGTTTCCGCGTGCCGATTGAATTATGAAAAACGGTTTTGCCAGGGACTTTTATGGGGAGGAATTTTGACCAGTGTAGTTTATCGCCTCCTTCCTTATCGAGTTTCCCTCCCCGACGAATTAATTCCTGTTTCCGCCTCGTCAGCCGATCGCAAATTTTCTTCGATCCTTCCTTGAAAAAAAGAGAGGAAAAAAGAAGAAAGAAATGCCGATTTAATTTCTTCCAGCTTGTTGTAACGCTGTCTCGAGTTAAAAAAGAAAGTAGCGTAGGGTAATTACGCTCGATTCGAAAGGAATATCCGCTTTCGAATTCCCCCCTCCCTCTCATCCGTCCATATCCCTTGGATGCGAATCCGTCCCCGAGACTTTGAAATTTTCGAGACGTTTCCCTCCTTCGTTTACTTTCCCTCGACGACCACGACGACGACGACGACGACGTTTTCCTCGACGTAGATATTCCCGAACGAAAGTTTTCAAGTGTTTCGGAACAGTGGAGTGGTCCGGGTCGGTCGTTCGCAGGGGGGGGGACTCTCCGCAGGGAATGAAAGTTGAAATCCGGTCGGAGGGATGAGAAAGCAAAAGAGGGAGGGAAGGGAAAGAAGGAAATTGGCCGAATGACCGAATCTTTTTCGTTCCTTCTTTTTTCGACCGAAGTAGACCGGACGAGTGGCAGGGAAGGAGGGAAGGAAGGGCTTTGTTCGACTTTGCGCCTCGTGGAAAATCGGGGCGACGATTTATCGAAAGCGCGAAAATACTTTGATCGCGCGGAGTGACGGGTCGAAGCCAGATTGTCGCGCTTCTCCGCCTCGATAAGCTCTCGCGGGGATAAGCTTCTTTCGTGGTGATAAACTTTCGTCCCCTTCTTTCCATCCCCGAGGCAAACTTGCCCGGCGAATATTCGACCGCGAGATACATCGAACCGATTCGATATTCGAGGGGGAAAAGCAGACACGGAATTTTTGCTTACGTTTTATTTCTTTTTCTTCTTCCTCTTTTTTCTCGCTCGATCCGTAAACGTCATTTGAGGCGCGAGATTTCTTAAATCAAGGATGGCTCGTCGTTATTATTTCGGAGTATCGCGTCAGAGGATTCGCGGGAGACGAGAAGGAGTGGCTCGCTTCGGATCCGTTCCACCTCGAATCCCGATCCGCCTCGATCCGAGGTTAGGATTTTCGAAATCTCGTTTCCCGTTAGATGGATCGAGCGCATCAACCTGTTGCTTATTACCAACCTAACCTCCATAGGTTATCGATAAGATGGCGATTTATTCGGTAATCGGCGAGGAGAAAAGCTTTGCTCTCTTCCTCTCTCTCTCCCCTATATCCATCCAGCAAGGTTCGTCCTTATCCAAAGCGAGAGTAAACGGATCGAGATCTTCCCCTCGATTTCGACGTATCCAACGATTTCGAACGGGAAAGAGTGAACGCGATTTTTATCGGTTCGTTCGTATCCTTTTTTGCCGTTGGGTCGAAGGCAATCGGCGAGCGAGAGACAATGGAGTTAGCGAGAAAAGGGGTTCTCTTCCGGGTGGTTGTCGCGCAACGATGGCGCGGCAGTTTGCCGGGGAAAGGTTTGGCGACGAGGCAGAAGAAGGGAGGATTTGTCGCGAGCAGAAAGCGAGGGACACGGAGGGGGAGGTTGGGTAGGGCGATTTCCATTGTCGACCGTGAACACCGCTCACGGCCGCCGATATAATTGGCGCCGCCGCAGCCGCCCTCTCGGATAACTCGAACGATAACGAGGACAAAAGAAACCGCGCGCCGGTGAAGAAAACAATGGTCGGAAGATCCGTTGAAAGTACCGTTGAAGAACGAGGAGCCGAGCTCTTGGATCTGACAGAATTCAACCGACTTTCCGGCTTATCCGTCAACCGACTCCCTTCCGGATATCGGACCACCATTCTCGCGCCTTAATTGTACTCGTTAAGCTCGATCCCCTCGACCACCTCCTTCGATGATCTTTACTACCGCTTTTCAACCGGTTTTTAATTCTTCCTTTCCCGAATATTCGACGGATCTTTACTCTCCCTCCCCTCCTCCCCCCCCCCCACTCCTCCTCCTCCCCCAATCTCTTCGATTCGTAACCTGTTTACAAAGTTCGAGGAGAGGAACTCGACGATTGCCCCTTTCAACGGATCGTAAAAGAACGATTTATCGATTTATTTCGGCGTATAGCGGCAGTCGTCGATAATTGCAGTTTCATCGCGATCCTCGCCAACTTTTCACCAACCGTTTCATAATTCTCCATCGCGAGAACTCCAACGAGTTCCCTTCCCTCCCTCTCGACACCGATATAATACACCTTGTCGAAAGTGAAACGAGGATCCGTAGTAATTACGATCCGACGACTCGAAAGATCGAGGCTCGTCGACGAGAATGTTAGAGATTCGCGCGAAAAATAGGACGCATTTTTAATTAATAGCAGGAGGGGAGGAGGGGGGGGGGAGGGCGTAATTATCGGCGAATTTCTAATTAAAGAAAAAGGAGAGAGAGAGAAAAATTGCGGAGGAGCGGTATCGAATCTCGAGAATCAAGGCTACGCCAACTCGATACGACGCGGTCGTATCGCTCGTAATTACGAGAAGTATCCTCGTCTCGAGGACATCCGGGGAAACACGTTCGAATTCTTCTTTCGAATTCGCGGAGGCCGAGGCGAAGAACAAGAAAAAGAGGAGGAAGAAGAAGAAGAAGAAGAAGAGGGGAAAAAAGCTTTCGTTCAACGGCCGATTTCATCTCTCCGGCGCGGAGAGAACCGCTAATAAATCGATCGATCGGACCGGTTCTCGAACATTTCAGAAATTTCGAAGCGACCAGTTCCTTCCTTGCTAAACCGTTTTACCAACTTTTTCCGCTATATTGAATTCTGATTCTATTCTCGAACACTCGGGGAAACACCCGATACCGCTCGCATCTTCTCTCCTCTCCAAGACGACCACGAGCCCTCTGTTTCTCTCTCTCTCTCTCTCCCTCTCCCTCTCCCAGTATCGAGAGATAGAAGAAATGGGAACAGGATATCCCCTCGCAGCCTCCAATAGTCCTTTTCCTAACTTTCGATCCCGCGGGACGGGATACCCTGTGTCTAGGATCGGAAGAGGATTCTTCTTTTAAACCGATCCTTCCCCATAACCGACAACCGATGGATACTTACGATAAACCAACCTGTCGTTCCGTTGATTGTTTCAGCCGAGAAATTGCCAAACGGTTTCCCGTTGATATCTCAAGCGCCAACGACCAAGGTGGTCGAGATGGGTCACAACGCGGTGCTGCTGTGCACGGCCGTCGGTTCACCGCCTCCGATCATATCTTGGGTCAGGGATATGCTGCCGATCGACACCACCAATCCACGCTACACCGTTCTGGACACAGGTAAGTGCGAGACCTACTCTTTCCAGGCCGTTGGAAATTCGATCGATCGAATTCGCGATCTACAGGTTAGAGGATAGGGAGGAGGTCGGCTGCGGTGCGTGTCATATCTGGTCGAGTGCGTAAGTCAGTGTCAACCGGCGGTAGCGTTGATCGAGTGGTCACGCGATACCGGAACATCCAGGGCATCCATCTCGTTTTCCCGAGCACCTGCTCCGCTCGCTCTGCCGCGCCAGATTATATCCGTCGTTGGCGATTTTCGATCGATCTCGTATCCGGCTCGTCGGATCGATAATTCGCCTGAATAAAATATCCTTCGTCCCTCGATCCGATCGACGACGAAACGACGACGACGACGACGACGACGACGACGGAAAAATCGTGGAAGAAAAAGATTCGCGAATGGATACAATTGGCGGTAATTGGCGCAAACGAACGGGCGAGCAAGTTTCGAGGTACGGCGTATATCGAGCTACTATTGTTCCGTTAACGCGCGTATTATCGTATCATCGTTATTTTCCCGTGGTACAGCAAGGTACGCGTGTGTTTTTTCGTATATACGTTCTTCACTTTGTTTTTATCGCGATGGCGGTATCATTATCGAACGGCACGTCACGTAATACCGGCGTGCACTTGCCCGACTATCTTTACGACGGCCGGAGCAGTTTGCCGCGACGTGAAAAGTATACGTTAGACGCGGGAAAGGCGGCTCGCATACAAGCCGGTATCGTGTAGGTGCACGCGTTATGCATATATCCGCGCCTCTCCCCTTCCCTCGCACGCGTTTCCATAAAATTGCCAACCCGACCCGACACCGCCGCGCACTTCTCGATTTTCGCGCCCCGATCGCGAATTAAACGCCAAATTTATTCCAACCCGTCCGTCCTCGCGATTCGCGGCGCATACGTATGCGTGGCACGTATAAACGGGAATATCGCGTGCATCCTCCTCGGTTCGGATGCGGAGATTCGATCGGATGCGACTTCCTTCGATCGATGCGAAGAAACGAAGGAAGGGGAAGAAGAGAATTAAACTCCAAGTCGCGTCGGTCACTCGATCGGTCGTTAACGTACCCTCCCTTAACGTCATTCGCGTGTCTTCCAACTCCTCCGTCAATATCGTTAGAAGCCATCGCGCCATACACCGTCTCTCCGCTCCTCTTCCTCCTCCTCCTCCTCCTCCCATAAGGGGATATATGGCTTAATGTATCGCAAAAAGTAGACGACGAAGAGGTGGGGAGGGCAATGTGCTTACCGACGTGTTCCTTCGCCGAGGGAGAATGGATGGAAGCGAAGGGAAGGGAGGGAAAGAAGAAGAATCGTGGAAAGACGGAACGATAACTCGTTTAACTTTTATCGCGTTGCCGTTCGTTTACCATCTCCGATAAACGTTAATAATAATAATAATAATAATAACGATAACGATGATAATAATAACAATGGAAAAGTGAAGCGAACCGGTGGAAGAGAAAGGAGGAAGAGGAGGAGATGGAAAACGAATTAACGAATCCAAGATTTTCAACCCTTTGTATTCTCCATCCGATTTCGCCCCGTCTCTCCCCGATTCATCGGGCGGGGAGGATATATATGTATATATATATATATTGTTGGAGGATAAAATGGAACGAGGGTGGAAACAAGGGGAAACAGAAAGGGACGCGTTACATTCGGACGACGCGGTCGCGAATCTCTATTTCCGTTTATCGCTTAAACGAGACAAATTAATTAAAGTCATACACGGGCGCGAGGTAGATAGGTGGGTAGGTGGGTAGGTGGGTAGGTAGGTAGGTAGGAACGAGCGAGCGACGGCGGCGTATTAAAATAACGCTCGCTTTGGTGAACGCCGACCACTTTACGATAATTGAAGGGGATTAAACCGACGCACGCGGATTCTCTCTCCACCATCCGAGATAAACCAATTTAATATTTCATTTAAGCTTTGTCACCGTTTATGGGGGCGGGGAGGGGGGGAAGACGCGGTAATCGCGTGCAACCGATATCGAGTCGCGCGGTCGAAAGGAAGAATCGTATTTTCCCCGCTTGTCGTAGACTCGTGGTGAAGGAGAGAGGGGCCGGTTCCTCGACGCTCGTAAAATTTAAAGGTAGAGGAAAGGAGAGAGATAGAAAGAGCAGCTCGACTCGAAGTTGGAAACAAGAGACGCCGCTTCTCTGCCTCTTCCTTCCCCTCTTTCCAAAACTCCCTCCCTTCGTCTTTGCCCCTATTTCCATTCCTTAATTCGTATAATAAGCCGTAATAATCGCCTCGCCGATCGTTTCGCCCAACCTCTCTAATTGTCCTATAACGATGACGCGCGGTGGTCCGAGCCGAGAGGAGGGGAAATCGGTGTAACGGTAATGGCTGTTTCGTTTGGACGCGGCGTCGATTTATAAATTCCTCCCCCGAGGAGGATCGAACGATAAGTTTTAAAGCGAGAAGAGACGGGAGAGTCGCGTGGTGGATCCGGTCGTGGGCCGTGGGAAGAAGGAGAGGAGACGTTTTTTGGAAAGATTGGAGGGGAATATTTTTCCCTTCTCTCGACGAGGAGGAGGAGAAGAGAAGAGAAGGTTTCGCGCTCGATTAAAGGCTCGGTTCGGTGAGCGCGGCGAATAGAATGACAAAAAGGAAAGAGGTGGAGGAGGCGGAAACGTCAACGGGTAATTCGATTTCCTTTCTGACGCGACGCATTCCCTCGAATCCTCGCGAAAGACGTTTCATGCCCGCATAATCTTCCCGTCTCCCGTCATTCTCTCTCTCTCTCTTATATTTGCAAAGCGAGATTCTGACGTTAATGCGCCGCACTTGCAAACCTTCAACGAAACCCGAAATAGAGAAATGTTTGCGGAAGAGAAGATGGGAGGAGCAGTTGGAAACGCGACGTTTCGCGAGTTTCCCTTCCCTCCGATCGTGGGAAGGGGAGGAGAAGCGAAGTTGGTACGCGTGGAACAACGATCGTTCGTGCAAAGGGTTTGATAAAACCGATGATACTCGACCTGCGATAATTAATACTCGACTCGTATATATATTTTTATTTTTCTTTTCTTTTTTTTTGATCGAGAGCGAGAAAGTCGGTTCCACGCGAGCTCCCTTCGTTCTCGAGCTCTACTCGTCGTCGTTTCGAGGAGGGGGGGGGGGGAAGGACGCGCGATGGAACCATAGCGTAAACACGGTATTTTTTCCCCGTTTTTTGTATTTTGACCGAATCGGAAGGCGCGCCGTTGGAAAAGCATCGGATACGAGCCATTACCTCGCGTCTCCCCTTTATCCGTTTTTCGTTCCACTTCAACCGACCTCTCTCGCGTGAATATTTTCCGATAATTATAATTGACTTTTTTTACGCGGTCGATGCGCTACTACCATCCACCCCGACCGAGCGTAATTATGAAAGCAATTAAAATCGTTGGCGAATTACTCGCCCCTCCCCCCCCTTCCTTACGGAGGAGGAGGAGGAGGAGGAGGAGGAGGAAAGAGCAGAGATATAAAGCGTAGCGCGAGTATATATATATATATACACCCTCGAGGTAAACATATTTTCCGTTCCCATTCTATCCGCGCGATCGAATCGAACGCGTTCGTCTTTCCAAGTCGTATCCGATTCCATTCCCCCCCGCCCTTCCATCCGAACGCGTGCTCGCGGAGCAAGCGAACGACGGTCAACCCGTATCGAAGGCTGCGAACGAACTGCCGCTCGCGTTCGTCTTCCGCTCGTATCATAATACGAGATATTTCAATATTGGCGAGTAAACACGCGCAAATACTTTCCGCGTTTCTTGGAAGGAACGGGAAGGACGAGTCGCGTATTTACAACGCGTTCGCGTCGCGTTCTCTCGCCGAATGCTTTCGAATTCGGGAGAGGGGGAAAGTATTCCCTCGGGGCGTCCCGATCTTGCGGAAAAAGTGGGGCGGAAAATTTTCAACGGAAATCGTCGATTCGAAGCTATATAGCTTATAGGAACAATTGGTCCGATAAGAAGGAATGGCCTTCCTTTTCCACGCGGTGGAAAAATAAATCTGTTTCGCGCGCATCCGCGTCGTTATCCCGAGTTTTACCTGCGGAATAATCGGGTTAACGCGCCGCCTCTCGACGTCTCGATGACTCGGGAATAGCCGCGCGATATTTGTTCGAAACCGATAACCGACGATTAATCTCTGATCGTCGTCCCCCCCGATTTTCTCTCTCTCTCTCTCTCTCTTCGCCTCGTCTCGAAGCAATTGGAAATTTAGCCAGTCGCAGGGCCGGCGAGGTCTTAAGTTTTTCGCAGTCGCGCTAACAAGTCGTGCACGTGACTGGATGGAGGGGATAACGATACGACCGCGCGTTCCTTCCTGGTCAACTTGCTCGTAGAAATTGTAGATGAGGCTCGATTACGTATTCCGATCGTACGCGATATCAAACTGCCTGGCTTCTCCTGCCTCGTGATGGAGTGTTTTCTCGACCCTCGACCCCTTCCCTTCTCTCTCTCTCTCTCTCTCTCTGCACTCGGTCATCGAAGTTAGCTACGAGGAAAGCTTAGGAATGCACACACGAGCGACACATCCGCCTCGTGGGGAAATATTTAAACTAGTAGGGGTCGGTATGGAGGAGGGGGAGGAGCGCGTGCACTGGTTGGTTCGCGAAAGGGAAGAAGATCTCTCGTACGCGGAGGAAATGGGCGAAAGATTACGCGGCGCGGATCTCGGTCGGAAGAAGGATCCGTTTTGATTTCCCTTCTGTTGTTCCGCGCGTTCTAGAGGCAGCCATTAATTCTCATCGTTAATTATCATGGTCGCGTTCGATAAAACACGGACGTGGAAAGGATGGAAAACAAGCTCGGTGATCCGTCGTGTTTACTTTGCGAACGAGTGGCGGGGTTGGCGTGGCGAAAGAAGGGAGGGAAGCCGAGAACGGGTGCGGAAGAAATTCTCGTGGGGGAGAAGGAAGGAAGGAAGGGAGAGAAGCGGGGAGAGATTGGAAACGGGGGTTGAATTATACTACCGAAGGAGTGACGTCTACGGAGATAATCACACGCCTCGTAACAGCCAGTTCATCATCGTGGTATCGTGCTTAAGGGCTTGATGCATCGTGGAAATCGCGCACGAAACCGACCCTCGTACGGAAACTCGAATATATATATATATAGATAGTTCTAGACTCGAAATCTTTCCAACTCTTTCGTTCGTGTGTCGTCTATCGATTCGATCGAAAAAGATCGTGTTCGTTGTTGCGTGCGTTATTACGAGCGATAACGATGACGATATGTGTGTGTGTGTAACGAGGATGGGATTTTTTCAGGAGCGTTGCAAATCACCGGATCCGACGTGAACGATCAAGGAAAGTACGAGTGCGTGGCGAACAATTCGGTGGGCACCGAGTACTCGAAATCCGCCATGCTCTACGTGAAAGGTTGGTATCTTCCCTCTGTCCTCCACTCGAATCGTCGTTCACCACCGTTTTTGCGTGGCAAAAACCCGTGTAACGCGAGATTCGCGGCGTTAAACCCCCCTCCGCTCCTCCCACTTTTCCCGTTTTCCCATGAAAATTAATGCCACGTAGTTAAAGCGTAATTAAACTAAGCTGACGGCACAAAGGATTCGCGCGCTTGAAATCGCGTCGCAAATATTATGACGCGGCATTTCTTGCGGTGGTCGAGAAACCGCCTCTGTGCTCGTCCCTCGAGATTCGAGTATCGCGTAATCAAATGCACGGCTCCCGACAGTTTGTTTCTCGAGCCGTATGCGCGTTGTTAATTGGCACGGGATAGCGCTCCCCTCCCGACCAATCCGGAATTCATCTTCTCCCCCCTCCCCCCCTCCCTCATTCTTTTTCCAAACCAAAATGAAAAAAGAACAAAAGAAAGTTTCCGTTCTGTGTTTCTCTGATTCTCGATAACAACGATCACAGTTCGACGCGTTGCGCCCAGTTTCTCCATACCACCGCCCGCTGTCAGCGAAGTGATGCTCGGCGCTTCTTTGAACTTGACCTGCGTCGCCGTCGGATCCCCGATGCCGTACGTGAAATGGAAGAAAGGCCCGTCCTTGGATCTCACCCCGGAGGACAATCTTCCAGTCGGTAGAAACGTGTTGATGCTCACCGACATCAAGGAGACAGCCAACTATACGTGCACCGCAGCCAGCGATCTCGGCGTCATAGAGGTTACGTCGATGGTGAAAGTTCAATGTTCGTATCGCATCCTATATCGCGGACGCCGTCGTGTCTCCTATCGCCTCGTATCGTATCCCATCCTATCGTATAGTATCGTATCGTATCGTATCGTATCCAGATGGATCGAGATGGATCGAAATCCTCGTGTAAATCCTCGGAGATCACGCGCGCGCGCACCGACATATCGGACTACGTAACGTAACGTAACGTAACGTAAAACGATCAATCACGCGGATCGGTGTGCGCGGACCGTGTTCGAAAGCGGAATACGAGGTTGTGTACGAGGTTGTATACGACTACGATTACGTCGACGACGACGACGACGACGACGACGACGACGAAGCGAACGAGAACGGAGCGAGAGCGTGCGAGAGCACCGGCCGATTCCGATCGATCCGGTTTGCGCGAAAAGATCCGGTCGTTGGAGGGGACGATCGCGTCATGGGGGGAGGGAAGAAAAATCATGGAGACGTGGAATTATTAATGAACGGAACGTGATGAATTTTAGCTCTGCCCGGGCCTGCGGAGAACGTTCAAGTGTCGGACATCACGGCAACCTCCGTGAAGCTGACTTGGTCCTACAAAGATCCGGACGAGGTCCAATACTACGTGATTCAACACAAGCCGAAGCACGTGAATCAAGCGTTCGCCGAGATATCGGGCATCACGACCATGTACTATCACGTGCGGAGCCTCAGCCCCTACACCGAATACGAACTTTACGTGATAGTGGTGAACGCGATTGGGCGTGGTCCCCCGAGTGCCCCTGTGACGGTCACCACTGGAGAAACGAGTCAGTATTTCCTTTTCCTCCTTACCAGCCCGCAACCCCACCCCAAATATCACCCGTATATTTTCTTTCACTCATTTTATTATTCATTGGCGCGCGCGTCCGTTCGCGCGCGCTTCTTCTCCTCTCCGAAAATTTTGCATATTTTCGTTTGAGCGCGCGTTTGTCGTCCCATCGTCGAGAAATACGCTCCGGGTTATCCGGCGCGCGTTTCGAATCACGATCGAACGAAAACTTTGCGCGACTCTGCGCGATATCTCGTGACGATGAAATATCGTGACGAGTTTACCCAGAAATGGAATGGACGGCCAGCTTTTTTCCCGCGTACCGCGTACTCGCGGCAAAAGATTGCTTGTTACCGACCGACCGACCGACCGATCGCGTACCAATTTTTGCACGTAGATAATGTTTTTTGCACCACCAAAGGAGGAACAAGTTTTGATACAAGTTTTTGAGGGAAATTATACCTTTTTTCCATGCTGTCCGTCGTGGACGCACGCGTTGATTCATGTAAGTGACAAGACATTTTTTTTCACCTACCACTACTACCAATCCCCCACCCCACCCTCCCTCTCTTCTTCTCTCTCTCTCTTCTCTCTCTCTCTCTCTCTCTCTCTCTCTCTCTCTCTCTCTCTCTCTCTCTCTCTCTCTCTCTCTCTCTCTCTCTCTCTCTCTCTCTCTCTCTCTCTCTCTC